TTCGAACTCCGTTACCGAAAAAACTGCACTGGCTTGAGCCCTGGGTTTGTGGTGAATAGGATACATGAAACATCGAATTGAAAGCACGTTCTCCTTTGTTTCTTGACGATAATGACACACACTCACTTTTTTTATTTTGATATTTCAGACCAAGACCAGGAAATTATGAAGGATTCTTGATATTAGTGATTAATAGCCTTTTAACCTTAAAACATTTTCGTTACCAGGACTGGGTAGGATTATCACAATTAATAATCCTGAATGCATCGAACACGTTATGAAAAGTAAGTTGACGAAATTATGATTTTATCATTATTGAATTGGCTTTAAACATGATTTTCATATTAACTTACTTTTTATAATAAATTATAATAAATGTACAGCGAATTTTGAGAACTATCATAAATTGACAATCATACAAAGTACTTTTTGATATAAAATGACTGAAAGACGAATTAAGGCCATAGAGGAACAAGAGAAAAACAGGGAATTCTAAAAGCAGTATTAGCAGAAGCCACAGGGTGCTGGACCATGAAAGTGCCACAGGGACAAGCATAAGGCATTATTTAGTAGATACCGAGACAACTATTTGAAAAAGTAAAATACGAGAAAATAGCAAAATAAGGTGATTATATCACTGAGTATTTGTTGAGTTGTTATGTATCTGAAATTACGCTGCCACTAGGTGTAAATCGGAGGATTCGAAAGCTCTTCGTGGCCACAGCCTGCTGTGAACGTTCGAACTCCGTTACCGAAAAAACTGCACTGGCTTGAGCCCTGGGTTTGTGGTGAATAGGATACATGAAACATCGAAATGAAAGCACGTTCTCTGTTTCTTGACGATAATGACGCACACTCACTTTTTTTATTTTGATTTCAGACCAAGACCAGGAGATGTTGGTGTTGATCTTTTTGGAAATTATGAAAGATTTTTGATATTAGTTCAATGCAAAAATAGAGACGAAATATAGGTAATGTGTTGAGTATATCAGTTGTAGATTAAATATAAATCTTAATTTATCGACGTTAATTTATTATTTATTGTAGGTCCCGGGATCCTACGTGATCTAAAAGGGGTTCTATCTAGGTATCACGAAGGAAGTACAATTGGAATCCTTGTAGTCCCTTTCAAAGACAAATTTACCTCTGGGAAGTAAGAAAGCTAAAAGATCAAGGTATAACATCATATTAACGGATGTTACAGATCTATATCTTGACCTTGTTCAGTTCGTTGAGGAACGACAGATTGAAGCGCAAGATGTTCTTGTTCGATTCATTGAGGAACGACAATTCGAAATATTTTATAATCTTTTTGGCTTGTTGAAGAACGATCAGTCAATGTTATCCTATCGATATAAATTTGCGTCTTGAGAACCAACGTAATTTCATTATTATAATTTTATTGTTATTATACATAATTTTTTAAATAGTTTTTATTCTCATATTTTTATTTTTTTTTCTAATAATCACAGAAAAAGTCTAATAATTTCCGCAATTCATACCAATTAAACTTACTGGAATTTCCATGATGTGATCACACATAATTTCGATCCTTGGACCACTTCAGATTGTATAAAAAGGAGATAGGCTTAAAATGAAAAATCAAATACTAATCAACAAACTTTATACATCATCAATAATTAATTGCAAAACTGCAAAACGAGGAATATCCGCAAATAAAATATAAGGTATAATGGAAATGCTTGATTACACTCACCAGTCACTTTGATTTTGTCATATATGTTAATCGAATTTCCAGTTCATAGATATTGTAATTCTATATATCACTTAATATTGAGAAAAAAACAAAGATAACAAATGGGAGATTTTAATAATCGCATTACTAAATTTTGATCCCTGAAATTCTTGTATCCCATATATAATATTACTTAATAGATAATGATAATGATAATGATAATTTATCAACAAAAATATTTATTGAATTAAATTTCATAAAATAATGATAGTTGCTTCATATAAAACATTTTATTTTATTAATTAGTAAATCTTAAAATCAAAATAACTGCATTTATTATATAAATTTTAAAGCTTTTTAACTATATATAATATGGATACAATAAAATCAGTTAAAGTGATATGTCAAAAATCTGTATTAAGTTTATAATGCAGAAACTGTATCTAATTGTCATATGATTATAATACTTGTTGTATATCTATTTTCTTATGAATTTATTAGTCTAAAGTATAAGTAGAAGATTATTAAATACTATATCATTTAATAAATTTATTAGTCTATCCATCTACTTATTGTTAGCATAGTTAAAAATCTTTATGATTGGCTAATTATATAACACAAAATTTTAATTGAAATGATTGACATTTATATTAGACGCGTGTTATAAAAAAGCTGATAATTCATAATTAGAAAATTTGTGTAATATTATGTTATAATGCAATTTCAAATTTATATATTATATTCATTACTTATCGCTTTACTTAGATTTACCTTTAAATTTTTCAGATTCACTTTTTATTATAATTTTAAATGAATCTAAATTTCTTATAATCAGAATAATAGTTTATATGCAATATGTGATCATAAAAAAATAAAGAAAATAAAAAAAGATTTTGAAAACTATAAACATAAACATTAGCCAAAACACAAATAAGTTTTAAAATATCTTTATTAACTTTTGAACTTTAAGTTAGTCATGAATTATATCTGAAGTATTATAATAATTTAGTATATTATGATCATAATACTTCAAAGAGATCTAAGAACTAAAATAATAAAGATATTGCTTACCATAAAAAAATATTCAAACAAAAAGGATATGCATATCTCAAAATACATCTTAGCAATTAGTAAATGATGTAATAACTGTAAAATAAATTAGAATTACAAATTGAAAAACTTAAGAAGGAATTAATTTTTTAAAGAAACACAAAAATAGTATTATATAGTTAAAATTATATTAATTAATTATCATTACTAATTACTTTATAAATTATAATAAAATTTATTCAATTTTTCAAATTTTTTACCAATCAAATAGAATATATAATAAGAATTCTTTATTAATATCAAATGAGAAAACAATTTACTAATTCAAAATGCTAATAAATTTGTTAATTTAATAGAAAGGTGTGATTCAAAACTTTATGAATTTTTTAGCATTTTATTTGAATCTATGAATTTTAATGAAAAAAATAAAAAATATGATAGCAATTAAAACAAAAAGTTATGTTACTTTATTATCAGATGACAGCTCTTTAAAATAAATAAGTTAGTAGTTCAAAAATAGTGATTGGATTATAGATGAGTGACGAAACCCCTTAATAACAGTCGAAACTTAGACGAAACTATATTAAAATCATAATAAGGGATACGACGAAAGCTGAAACTGTCGAAACTATATTAAAAACATAGAAAAGGATATGACGAAATTATTTTGAGAAGGTTTTGGCAGGCATCTATAGATTGGATTATATATAACTAACACTGATATATCAGTTATTGATGTTAATATACTTTCAAATATGAGAATAAATATAATATATCAAACTGTATATAATAAAAAAAATTGTAGATATACATAAAAGTTATATTCAAGAATATATTTTAGATAATATTTGTATTTGTTTTTTATTTATTTTCAAATATAATTTATATAAATTTCAATTTTTAGAAACAATAACTTTTAATTTTTAATATAGATGATTATCATAATTTACATGAATCTCATATTTTAAGTGTAACATTTATTAATTGTATTTTATATATAGTAACACTTTTACTTAACGTTAATGATATCCCTCTAATTTATTATTTACATCAAATTTATCTACTATTATAATCCAAATATTATTGATATAAAGTTGCTTAAACAGATACTTAATTCATAATATTTAATCGAATTTGCAATCAGTTATAATGTATGAAAATTCACTTAATATTTAATTACTAATATTATGATATTAAATGAATCTAATCTCGTAGAAATTTTAATTATACATTGTTAGATGCAGATTTATCAGGAAAATATGTTCAAAAATTTAATACAACTAAATTAGTTAATTTTATACTAACAGATTTAAACATATAAATGATTATTTAAAAGTATTGATTAAATTATTTAAGTAAGATATATAATTTTATTACAAATAATTTATAATAATTATTAAATAAATTATTTATATTAAAAAGATTACCTGAAATAAAATTATATTGACAAATTATATTATACCTATTCTTGCTAATTTTTTGAGTTAATTATATATTCAAAGAATTATTATATAAAAACTCAAATATAGTGAATGATTCATGCTTAATTCCAATAGAAAATTAAATTTAATTCCATTTCTTGACCTATTACATATTTTTTTCAATACTCATGAAAGTTGCTTTTTAATTTTTCATTCATTTTTTAATGAATTATATAAAAAATTATTTGGAAAAAAATGAAAATTGACCATAAAACTAAAACTTTAACATATTAATCTTTTACTTTATTTAGCATATGCAGGATAAAATATTATAAAATCTTATATTTTTCTTAATTTAAACAATCAAAAGATCTTAATTATCATATATTCATAGATTTGCTAAACAATTTAATTTTTGTTACATTAGAAGTATATGTTATATTATTTCTGAAAAATAATTTTGATCAATATATTGAAACAGTATTTTACCTATAGATAGTAATGAAAAGATTTTGACAAAAAAATTATGACAAAATATTACTTGGCTTAGTATCTGATATTTAATACTGGATTTCTATTTAATACCCTATTATTAATACTTTTAAATCTTAATTGTAAATTTTTAATAAATATTCAGTTAAAATTTCTATAGTTTAGTTTAAAGACATACATCTGAAAAAGTAATAACTGGTGAATGGTTAAGACATAATATAATATTTATTAATTATCATTAAAAGTATAATGATTTTGCACAATCATTTATACCTAATTGATCATATCTATATGTTAAAAAAAAACTGGATTTGATGACAAAATAGTTAGCAATATTTTCTTACAATTTTTTGAAAATATTTAGATTAATCAAGGAAAAGCAAAAAGAAAAGTTAAAAGTACAAGAATTAAAAAGTATATTATTACTTTCTACTACTTACTAAAAGATTTTGATGAATTTATTAATTAAAATCAAAAAATTCAGACATGCGAAAATTGGTCTAAAATCAGCCTAAAATTGACAAATTATTAAAAATCAGTTTAGCTGATTGGTATATATCAAAAATCAGTTAAGAATCAGCTAAAAATTGTCTTATCTTATTTATAGCCAATTTGCATACTTATAGCTGATTAATATACATTAAAAATTGATTGAAATTCAACCTATCTTATTTATAGCTGATTGACATCTGATTGGAATGATTATATTATTCCTTAGATATAATAGTATTATCATTTCTAAGATACAATAGTTTTATCATTTCTTAGGTATAATGCATTTATCATTCCTAAAAAATGATGGTATTATCATTCCTAAGGTATGATAGTTTTATCATTCCTTAAGTATAATAGTTTTATCATATCTAAAGAATGATGCATTTATCATTCATTTAAATTAATGTATTATTATTTCAACAAACTAAACTTTTAGATTAAATCAATTTACTAAAATAATATTGAATATACGATTTTTTGATATTGATTTAAAGTATTATTTAAGTTTATATATAGGAATATTTATATAAATAAGCTTATTTTTTAACTTTTTAAAAAATAATTTCAATTTAAACTTTATCTTTTTACAATTATTTTCAAATTTTCTTTTTTTATATTCTATCAAAATATTAAAAAAAAAATCATCCCAAAAACAAAAAAAACTTTAGTTGAATTTTATCAATCAACTAGTTAATTTCTCAAATAATAAACTGATTTTTTTTACTTTTTATAATAAAAAGATGCTTTTAACCATCAAAATCAGATGAAACTTAAATTGAATTTGTCAATTTTCAAAAAATAAATAATTTTTTTTATTTTTTATAATAGAAACATACTTTCAACCATTAAAATCAGATGAAATTTAAGTTGAATTTTAGTCAATTTTCTGATTTTTTTATTTTTTTTAATAAAAACATACTCTAACTATCAAAATCAAATAAAATTTAAATTGAATTTTAATTAATTTTTCAAAAAATAAACAAAAAATTAACTAATAATTTTTACTTTTTATAATAGAAATATATCTTTAACCATCAAAATCAAATGAAATTTAAGTTGAATTTTAGCCAATTTTTCTAATTTTTTTTACTTTATAATAGAAATATACCTTTAACCATCAAAATTTGAATGAAACTTAAGTTGAATTTTAGTAAATTTTTCTGATTCTTTTTTACTTTTTATAATAGAAACTTGCTTCTAACTATTAAAATCAAATG